GTGTCTGTGAGTGTGTGTGCGTGTGTGTGTGTGTGTGTGTGCTTGTGTGCGTGTGTGTGTGTGTGTGTGCGTGTGTGTGTGTGCGTGTGTCTGTGTGTGTGTGTGCGTGTGTGTGCGTGTGTGTGTGTGTGTGTGTGTGCGTGTGTCTGTGTGCGTGTGTGTCTGTGTGCTTGTGTGTGTGTGTGTGTGTGTTGGGCAGTATGGGGGTAAACACAGTAATACAAATCTTGCATTACAACCTTAAAAAAACGTCTTCCACTGATCGTCACAGTGAACAAACATCAGGCTGTAAAAAGATTTTCACTCTGCAAAATCCTAATTATTACAAAGGTTATATTGACTTGTAATATTCCAAAAAGCAGCTACACACTTCTGTTTTTTTCACATGTCTCAACTGACAAGACGTCATATCAGTTACAAATACCAAAGTACTTGTAACTGTCCTCAGTATCTGCTATTGTTCCCTCTGGACTCAGCAGTTAGTTTGCTCAATTAGTAAGTCACTGGATCCACATGGTAGATCTGGGTTCAAATCCCCCTTTGGACTCCGACTGTTTTTTCTGCAACATATGATTAAAGAATACAAACATTACATGGAACATACAAAGAAAATGTAGTTGATCATGCACATTACCTGTAAATGTCATGCGAAATGTTCACTTTATCTTTACTAGTTTTTCATAATATAGTTGTATGAGAAAAATGCAAAAGGGGAAACACTTTCAGGAGTAAAACCACACATGACACATATGAACCTTATATAAAGATTTACTACAAAGACACTGGTAAATTCTTATATTTTTTTTCCAGTTTTTTTCCATATGGGACCTCACACTCGTACCCTGCTTTTAATTATTCATCTGAAACGGTTTTCCAAGGAAGTTGCCTATCGACACATGTCCTCCCTTTTTCTGGGATGGCACAACTCGGACCTCGATAGGGGAAAAAGTCGACCGAGCAAGAATTCCGAGTCAGAATCCAGGATGTTGTGCCCACTGTGACGTTTAAATATGAAGTGCTTTCATTGTGTTTGGACACTTTGGTGTTTAAATGACAGTTTCAGTAACTTGTATCACTGCAGTACTTTACCGTGTCTGTATCACTGCCCATGGGTATGGTATGGTAGTCGGTGTTGTGGTGAGGCCAATATTGAACATATACTTGATTTAACGGGCGTTAACTTCCCTAAGGTTGAAGAGAAATCGTAACATAAAATGAAGTACAAATTTAAAAAAAGGTAACACTTTATAATAACTACACCTTATTTAGCCTTAATAAAGCATGAACAAAGACTTAATTAATAATGAACAAAGACTTAATTAACAGTGATTCACGCTTAGTAAATGCTTAATAAAGCATAATTAGTCTTCACTTTAGAAAAGCTCTCAAAAAGACTTAACAGATAACAGCTGCCTGAATGATCATTGCATTGTATTATTAGTAAATCATTCTCTCATAGTTTACTAATGATTAATAAATGCTCAAATGGTTAGTTCATGAGTAATTAAGTATGAAATAATTATGGGTAACACTTTATAATAACTACACCTTATTTAGCCTTAATAAAGCATGGACAAAGACTTAATTAATAATGAACAAAGACTTAATTAATGATGATTCATGCTTAGTAACTACTCATAATTATTTCATACTTAATTACTCATGAACTAACCATTTGAGCATTTATTAATCATTAGTAAGATATGACAGAATGATTTACTAATAATACAATCCAATGATCATTCAGACAGCTGTTATCTGTCTTTTTGAGAGCTTTTCTAAAGTGAAGACAAATTATCCTTTATTAAGCATTTACTAAGCGTGAATCATTATTAATTAAGTCTTTGTTCATGCTTTATTAAGACTAAATAAGGTGTAGTTATTATAAAGTGTTACCTAAAAAATGTATTCATTAAAGTGGCAGCATTTTCATCACATGAGGGAATAGTCATAGTATAATCCACGTAGTCCAACACACAAAACATAATAATACACTTCAAGCTCGGACTTGACGTCAAATCCGCGGTCCAAGTGGAAGTCGGAGGATAATTGAATGCAGGGTGACTTCCTGGTTTCCCGTCGTTGGCGCCGCTCGTTCACCACTCTCAGTGCTTGGTGCCGTGGGCCTACGTTGTTTGCTGCAGCTTTTTTGAGACTGGCTGTTTGGCATCTGTCCTTCGCTGCACTCATCCAGAGACTAATACAGATCTTGAGCCCTGGAGTTAAGTGCACTGTCGCCACCTTGCTTGCCTTGCCTTTCCCGTACAGGTTTGTTTTCTGGAGATTTCAACTGGGACTGGATTTGCAAGAGTCATTCAGCGAAGTGAATTGTCCTAACTAACTCACTGAAACATTACTGTCAAACTGAACCGGTTTAGGGAAAATGTATAAATAAACAGTACACTTTTGATACATGTGAACAATGCCTCTGTTCATCAACAACAAACCTATGTGTCTTTTAGATTATCGGGTCCTGTGCCAACTCCCAGGTGACATTGTTGGTTCTTGCAGTGTTGGGAAGGTTATTTTTAAAATGTATTCCCCTACAGATTACAAATTACATACCTCAAAATGTAGTTTGTAACGTAATCCATTAAATTACTTAAAGTGAGTAACGTAATCTGAATACTTTGGATTACTTTTGCTGTAGACGAGGAAATCTTCACATAAGATGAAGAAGAGAAATTTTATCTGCTAAAAGATAATAAATAAATATTATTGATAGAAGAGGAGGAGACACATCCGCGTAGCATGGTTTAGTCCTGTTAAATCCAGTTAAATCCTGTTTTAGCCCTGGTTTAGACCTGGTTTAGCCTTGGTTTAGATCTAGTCTAGATCTAGTTTAGAGCTGATTTAGTCCTGGTTTTAGTTCTGGTTTAGACCTGGTTTAGATCTAGTTTAGTAGATCTAGTTTAGACCTGGTTTTAGTCCTGGTTTTAGTCTTGGTTTAGTCCTGGTTTAGATCTAATTTAGATCTAGTGTAGACCAGGTTTTAGTCCTGGTTTAGGCCTGGTTTAGTCCTTGTTTAGATCTAATTTAGATCTAATGTAGACCTGGTTTAAATCTAGTTTAGACCTGGTTTTAGTCCTGGTTTAGATCTAGTTTAGATCTAGGTTAGACATGGTTTTAGTCCTGGTTTAGACCTGGTTTAGACCTGGTTTAGATCTAGTTTAGATCTAGTTTAGACATGGTTTTAGTCCTGGTTTAGACCTGGTTTAGACCTGGTTTAGATCTAGTTTATACCTGGTTTTAGTCCTGGTTTAGTCCTTGTTTAGATCTAATTTAGATCTAGTGTAGACCTGGTTAAGATCTAGTTTAGACCTGGTTTAGTTTCCAGCAATGAGTGGAATTACTGAAAAAAAAAAAAAAAAAAAAAAAAAGGAGGTGGGGATATAGCTCAAAATGTGAAAACAGGTAAATACCTCTGTGTAATCCATTTATTTCAACAAAGTAACTGTAATCCAATTACCACTCACTGAAACAGTAACTGTAACTGAATACAGTTACTCACAATTTGTACTCTGATTACATAACTCCGGTACATGTAATCTGTTACTCCCCAACACTGACTAGGTGTTATGTTTATGTAAATGTTAATGTAAATTATTGGTTTGGCCAGTAGTTACTCCAAGACATCAGGTTAGAATCCCTCAGAATGCCACATTAATACAAGACATGTTTACAATTTAGGGCAAGACACTTCTCTGTCAGTTAACATGTGTATTGCTAGTTGTGTCTGGAAGGGCACCTGGCTTAAAAACTGTCTAAGAAAACATTTCATAGAGCTTGACAATATGCAACAATGCTTTCCACGCTTTCCTAATTCTTTTTGTTGTTAAAATGTTCGCAAACACATTATCAGGTAAAAAGTGTCGAGCATTGAAATCAGTGTAGCCCGAACCCAGTGGAGCTTGTAATATAAAACACATGGATTTGATAGAAATGACAGGCTTATTTAGTCGTCACGGTTACAGCGCGGTAACGTGGAACATTCTGATACAGAGGACTGGAAATAATTAGGTGCCAAACACTAGAGTAATGTTTATGTGAATCTGAGCTGTCATTTTCACTAGGTTTAATTTTAATACAAGACGTAACACACGAGGAGCGCTCTGGAACCTTCTCACAATGTTAATTTGAGTTTTATCAAATCAACGTCAACCGGGATTTTTATTTATAGAGTCTGGAGAGACGCAGAAGGTCAATGGGAAAAAAAAATAAACAGAGAATGGAGCCAGAGAAGAGCTGTGTTTATGAAATAGGTTTAAATATATCTACATACAAGTGGAATACAGTGGCACAGTGGTTGGAACACTTGCCTCACATCCAGAAGGTTCATGGCTTGATTTTTAAGGACTTAAAAACATGAAAAAAAAAAGGACTAGTTCATCTTAAAGGGCCTATAGATGCATCAACAATCTCGGACTTCTGGTCATTGCGCAATTCATACTGGGAAGGATTTTCGGAAAAAGTGAGCATCGAACCTCCATGTTTGTTTTCCCAGTGGGATGTGTCTATTGACAAAGACGATCTTTTCAAGTCTTTTGAACCATATCACTTTTGTTTCTGGTTCTGATATTGTCATATTTTAGTTTTGGGATTCGGACATCATAATTGTGTGGTTGTTGGATCCTAACAGCGGAAAACGATTCAAGAAATTTGTTCGCAAACTTCATAAATGCAAAAGGGAATAAGTCACTGCAAAAAGACCTCACAAAGTAATCTCACACGGCTGATGTCACATTGAGCTCTAGTGTTCAAGGTAGTGAGGCCGAGTGGTCTAAGGCGCTGGATTAAGGCTCTAGTCTCTTTGGGGGTGTCGGTTCAAATCCCACCACTGCCAGTTTGCTCTCTGACGCCAAACTGAACCAAGGTAGACTTTGGCCTGGATAAGCATATGTTTGACGTACTGTCTCAAACATTGGAATTCCCTGTCATTGTGAAACTGTGTTAGAAGACACTGTCTTTATGCATAATAAGAAATATAATAGAACATCCCTCATTGTAGGCAGGATTCGAACCTTCGCAGGTAAACCCCAATGGATTTCTATTCCATCACCTTAACCACTCAGCCACAACAACTCACAGACACACCACTGTCAAAAAAACCAAACAAAACAATAAAAATCCTAGAAACAACCTTAAAGTCAAGCTGGAGATGCTGTTACTGGCAGGATTTGAACCTGCGTGGGCAGACCTCAACGGATTTCAAATCCATCACCTTAACCTCTCGGCCACAACAACAATACTGTCAACGCCGAAGGGATCTGACAAGCCTCTGGCATAGTGATAACACAGCTACATCAGAGACTTCTTTGTCTTCACACATGGATGTTCCACTGGAATGAAATGTGATGTCACTGGCACTACAGCAGCTAACCTTAGGCTCTGTGGCGCAACGGTAGCGCGTCTGACCACAGATCAGAAGGTTGTGTGTTCAAATCACGTCAGGGTCATTAGCTTTCTTGATTACTTTGTCAATGTTGTGCAGCAGAACAGTAGAGGTTGTGCTAGCCTCTGACAGGCAGATGTCCTATTAGATTATGTAAAGAGTTGTATATGTGCACTAGCTATGTTTTTAGAAAACCATGCCGAAATAGCTCAGTTGGGAGAGCGTTAGACTGAAGATCTAAAGGTCCCGGGTTTTGGCAAATATGCTATTTTCTGTGCTTCAGCTTCATGTTGCCTTTCAGGATTTATACAACACTGCCTACCTTTTAAACTGAAGGTCCATGGTTCAAGTCCCTGTTCAGGCAGTTCTATATTTATAACAAGGGAACAAGAACAGTTGGAAATAACTACTGCATATAGGCAATAAACCGTGGAACTTGGAATGAAGTCTTCTAGCATGGCAACGAAATCTTCTCAATTGCTTCTTAACAAACGGGATCCCGCTGTGTCGGCCCAATGATTTCTTAGGCAGCCAAAGGTTTCCTTTTTGGTCCTTCCTGTGGATCAATCCTGCCCATCGCCTTCGCCTTTCACTATTTTTCAATTCCGTTGGGGAAGAGAAACAGTTTGAACGGAGGTTTGTAGTCACACACATCTGATTCCCTTTTGCATTTATGGAGTTTGCTTCGCTTTATGGAAACTTCCGAAGCCCATTTCTCAAGCTGTTTTCTGCTGTTAGGATCCAACAACCTCACAGTTACGATGTCCGAATCCCAAAACTAAAATATGACAATATCAGAACCAGAAACAAAAAGTGATAAGGTTCAAAAGACTTGAAAAGATCGACTCTGACAATAGACGCATCGCACTGGGAAAACAAACATGGCGGTTTGATGCTCACTTTTTTGGAAAATCCTTCCCAGTATGCATTGCGCATTGACCGGAAGTCCAAAATTCATGATGTATCAACTGATGTCGTATATCTGTGCTGCATGGACAAGACAAATTTGCTTAAACACATGGAAAAATCAGACACTTTCAATTCACCTGTCAATCATTAAAAGCAGGACAGAGGCTGACCAATAGGAAAAGTGAGAAAATAAGAATAATAAGAAGGGGGAAAGTGGGAAGGATCTGTGTTTGAGCATAGAGCCACATTAAACTGAAAAATACTTTATGAATATTTAAGTCCATTTATCAGACAGTTAAATGTACTCGGCTCCATTGGCTTCATCAGTATCCAACACTGGGGAATTAACATTATTCCTGCTCATGTTTAAGAATAAAGACAAGAGTAAATCTGGCTTAAACCCAGGCTAAACTAGAACTAAAAATGGTTTCAAACAGAACTAAACCAGGACCAAACCGGACTAAACCAGGACTATTTAACCCTGGTCAGACACAGCCCAAAATAACCTTTCAGAAGAAGCTTGACAAACCTTATGATCGTGACTGTGACCAAGACGGGTAGAGCGGCTGGATTGCAGTGAGAAACCGAGAACAGATGATGGAGGCAGGTTTAGCGTGGTCCACAAATTTTTTTTATTTCTTTTTCCAAATTTCCCAAAGTGCCAGTGCAAAAACAAAGTGCGGTGCAAAAAGTGCAGGGAGGATATGGAGCAGCAGGTCTCTCCAGCAGCAGAACATCGAATGGTCGGATTAGGCGCCTTATATACCACTGGATAAAACCATTAAAACTCCAAGGGGTGTAAAATAACATTAGCTGTATAAAACTAAGTTAAAATCCTCCAATAAAATACCCATAGCCAAATAAACTATATAAAACCCAAATACAAAAATAATAAAACCCTAAAACTAACTCCTAATAAAACCCAACGTGAATATTCCAATTAAAAACGAGTGCTATTCCCCCCCGATGTCCGCCGTGATGAGTTGGCCCGGAACTCTTAAAAGGTGTCTGGTTCCCCGGGGAATCTTTTCGCCAGACACCTGGACAGAAGACACGGGTAAGTAAAAAGCACTATCACATCATCACAACATGCACGCACATACCACTCTCACACTCTAAAATACCCACATGGCACACACGCAAACACACACAAGACACAACTAATTTAAAACACGGCACATATATTGCACACTATCCAATTGTAATTTTCGGTGTATCTCCGCAGACCGGCAGCCGCCAAACCCGGAAGTGCCCGTCCGACCGGCCCACGTGACACCCGAAAATGTTTTCAATAAATATATTTTTTAAAACAATACAAATGTGTGCAATTCTTAATATGTGCAAATTAGCGTATCTTATAAGTGCTTCGTGCTATACTGTGCAATGTAAATATATATAAAGTGCAAAGTGAATGAAAGTGCATGTGTAATTATTACGTAACGAACAGGCCGTTCGTTACAGTGACTCAAAAATGGTGTTGTAGAAATCATGTTTTGTATTTATTGTAAGTGTTTGTTTGTGTAATACTGCCTGCCAAGCCTCAAGTGCACTGATAATGGTCTAAAATACTCTTAATAACAGTGATTTATGATGGTGGCACTTAAGGCAGATAAACGCTTTAAAGGATCATGGTCACCTGTCCTGCTCTGGTCCTGGTTTGAACCTGTAGTTTAACATTATGATATAGTACACAGCAAAAACTGGAGGGTTAAAATTTCAGGGTAAAATATTTCAGAGTTGTTTTTAACACCAAAAGTGTTATTTTAACTATTTGAAAGTTAAATGGGGGTTTGAGCTGCGGTTATTTGTCAGAGTTGATGTGGTTGAGGTTAATTCAACTTCTCTTAGTGTTAATTCAACTTCCTCTAGTTTTAATTCAACTTCTCTTAGTGTTAATTCAACTTCTCTTAGTGTTAATTCAACTTCCTCTAGTTTTAATTCAACTTCTCTTAGTGTTAATTCAACTTCTCTTAGTGTTAATTCAACTTCCTCTAGTTTTAATTCAACTTTTCTTAGTGTTAATTTGGCTCCTCCCATTCACCACTTCAAACTCTTGTGAGAGAAGACCAGTTTGAACCAGTTTTGTACATATTTTCATCTTAAATTAACTAAAATAAAGTAAAAATAAAATAAAACAGCTCTGTGTGTTGTTCAGCTAAATCAGAATAACTCTACAAAGTGTTATCCGTTTACTCTCAAAACATTAATATAACTCTTGATTTCGGGGTTAAACAGGAACTTTGGTCCAGTGTTACTTAATTAACATGTCCAAAAATGTTAAATTAACTCTGAAACAGATTGGACTCATATAAACTCTGAGAAAATGTTAAAGTTGATTCTGTGAGAGTCAATTTTAACACTCCACTTTTTGCTGTGTATAGTCCTGATGTAGACTTGATTTGGTCCAGTTTTAGTCCAGTTTAAGTCCAAAGCAATACTATTTTTACAGTTCTAAGAGATTTGTAATTGTAAGAATTTCAATGTTTCTTCTTATTCCTTAAAGATGCTTTTATGCTCTTAAAGGTGCACTATGTAACTTTTTGTTTGAGGGTCCATCACCTGCTTGTTTCTATGGAAATGTCATTACTTTGCATGGAATGTTCCGCAGTGTGACATTAAACAAATCTACCTTACATTTATGCAATTTCAGGTGGTTTTATATCTCAAAAATACCCAGAAAAACAGATTTTCTGACTGAGTGGGGTCGCCTCTCCACAGATCTGACCTGTAACTTTGTCTGGTTTGGTCTCCATGAAGACAGAAAGGTTTAATGCCATACTGTGAAACATTTCAGACAAAGCAATAACATATCCTTGAACAATAACATTTGACAGACCCTCCATCGGAAAAGTTATGCAATGCACCTTTACAAACTTGTTTGTGGTCGTCCAAAGTTGTACGTCACTTACTGTATTTTCCACACTATTAGTCGCTCTGGATTATAAGACGCACTGTCATTAAATGGTCTATTTTCAAACTTTTTTCACAAATAAACTGCACCGGACTTTAAAGGAAACCCAACAGTGTGATGGGTGAGTGGTTTTGTTTGTTTGTTTGTTCACGGTGACTCTGGGCTTTGTTCAGTTGTGGCGTGTAGGGAGGGTGTGTCTGGGACCAACGGATTGTCGGCGTGTTCGCAGTGACTCAGTTGTTCAGTTGTGTCTAGAAGTGGCACATTGCACTCGCTTTTTCGGTTCGTTCCTCTGTTCCGTTCCTCGTTGGTGTGGAGTGATGAGTGTGTCTGTGGATGTTTTTCGCTGTGCGGTCACTGTCTGCTCCGTGTGTGTTTGTGTGTTCTGTGGGTGGTGCGGCTTTGTAGTTTACTGAAGTCGTGCTGGGACACCTGAGTGGATCCGTGTATAGGGCGCGCTGGATTGTGGGGCGCAAAGTCGTTTTTTGATGGGGTTGGAGGCTTAAGAGTGCGACTAATAGCCCGGAAAATACAGTACCTTATGCATTCGGAGCATCCTAATTATCCACCAAGATGAGTATACACGCTCTTCACAACTAGCATGCTAACAGTGAACTTCTTGATTCTCTGACAATAAAGTGCTTTATAATTCGGTACAGACAGCAGCACAAACTCGGGATGATTTAGGCAGTGAGAGGTTTCTTTTTTGGTCTTTCCTGTGGATCAATCCTGCCCATCACCTTCACCTGTTTACTATTTTTCAATTCCGTTGGGAAGAGAAACAGTTTGAACGGAGGTTTGCAGTCACACACATCTGATTCCCTTTTGCATTTATGGAGTTCGCAAACAAATATTTTCCAACAACCACAC